TTTCTCTTTGATTTGATGGGAGGATTTGTGAGATTGAGGTGTGTATATATATAGGTCGTGAAATAAAGGGTTATGGAAATTTAAGGTATGATTTGATTATGGGGAATTTTGTGCGCACAAGAATGGAATGTTATATACACGGACTATTTGGAATGATATTTTCTGAATATATTCCATTACTTGTACTTCGATGTGGATTATATATTATATGGGTTGATATAAAAACACCGCCTTGTGTGGAAACTAGGAAATATTATATGAGAATCGCATATATATATTTTGGCTAATTGAAATTATTATTGACTAATTGATATATTTATTGACTTAGTTGTATTATTATTATTGTTATTATTAATGTATAGGAAAAATTTTATTTTAGGTCATTATATTGGTCATTATCCAAGAAAAATCCAACATTTTGGCAGACACCACACTTAGTACAATAAGTTGATAGTACAATAAGTTGAAAAATTCATCATATTTGGTCCAATAATGAGATGATCCGGATAATTTGCCTACGTGTCATAATTCCTATTTTTCACATCATTTTTTTTAGCCAAATTAATTTCCTGGTGGCGATGACTGGGCGAATGCCAGTCCAGACAAAATTTTATTTTGAGTTTATTATATTGTCTATTTTCTAGGAAGGATCCAACATTTTGGCACACATCAAATTAGTGTAATAAGTTAGAATTTTCATCATATTTTGCCTACGCACTCAGCGGCCACGCCGCATTCATCTCATTCACACGATTTTTCTTCAAATTATCGTCAAACATGATCTTCAAAATTTTACAAAAATTGTGAGAGTCCATAAACCGTATATTAATATTATTAGGACAAAATTTCATACTACCTCTTGATCATTTTACCTTTATCAACAATTAACTAAATAAATGACGTTTTGAATCTTTTGTACATATTTTTCCATTATTACCCTCATCTAGCTAATAAATACAATATGTCTTTTCATATTCACTATTTATCTTTTCTCAAAAGATTCATCTCTATTCTCATTAATGAGTGTTATTATTGACAAAAAAAAAATTATTAATTACTGTGCAACTTCTTATACTTATTAAAAATAGGAGGAGTACTAAATAACCAACAAGCAAATTGATAAAAACCAAAAAAAATAAAAAATAAAAATCGAAACACTTTTGTTCTTTGAACTCCGACTCCAAGATATTGTTGTTGTTATTACAATAATTCAATAATTCCTCCCCATTTATTTTCACTTCCTCTATATATCACTCCAACAGGCTCGCGATGTGCGGTATTATGTCAATGAGGTCCTGCGCTTCCCGGCTAGCCAGCTTCAATTTGGCCGGCTCCCGACTCCCAAACTGGTGGTCGCAAGTAGCCACGTTCTCCTGAGCCTCGAAGCCCGCCGTCTGGAGGTCGCTCGAGCTGGCCCGGCCCGTTGCTTTCAGGTAACGGGAACAGTCGTTGAGATTCTCGATGGCGGCCTTACTGGCCTCGACGCACTCGTCCGCCGCCGGGCCGCGGGCCGGCTTAGCGGCGGCTATGACGCGCTCGGTCAAATCTTTGCACTTGGTGACAACGGCCTGGCCGAAGGCTCGGAGGTCACGGGCAGCACGGGCGGCGGGGTCGGCTTCGAGTGTTTTGATGCAGAAATCCGGGTTTCTCGTGCTGGGGCAGAGGTCGGTTATGATGTCAGCATGACAGGCGCACAACAAAGACAGTGAAAAAGTGGTCAGGATGAAAAAGGAGGCCATTGATGATTTTATTGGGGATTTTTTTTTTTTTTTTTTATTTTTTGGGCTCTTTGTGGTTTAGACTTTAGCGTGGCTTTCGGATTTTAATTGGGACATTAAATAATAGGTGTGGTGGATTATTTTTGGTAAGATAATTTGATCTTGGAAATTTAAGGAGGGTGTATTATTAGTTTGTATTTTAAGTGATATTTTAAGATTTTTTGATATTTGACACTTTTTAAAATTGTAGATTTAAAAGGAATTTTTATAATTTTTAAGGGTGAAATTTGGGATGAGATTCTGTTGAGATTTTTTAAAATTTCAAATACATACCTCATAATTAAAAGTCCTAATACAGCGCATATTCTTAATATAGCAAATCTTTAAAACCATCAAATAAATACAACCCTATGATAAATTGTTTAAATTCATGTGTGGACAATTTTATTAAAATATATATGTAATTACGCGTAATTCTATTCAGATAAAATACATAAGATCTAACATGAAATAAAGGATCCGATTATTAAAGGATATGTGCAACATTATGGGAATATAAAATGGGACATAGGAAATTTTTATTATCATCCATTTTTGTATGATAATAATGACTTTTCTGAATTTCAATAATATGGAAATTTTACAAACGATCCATACTTATACAATGAACTAGTACGAATCCCGTGCGATGTACGGGTAAGAGATATTCGTTAATATTTATAATTACCGTCGTGGTCGAAGGAGCGGAAGACCTCCAACAGTTGGTCCTGGTTGATGAGAACTTGTTCGTCCATGTCGGGGATCTTTGTAAAGCAAACCATATAAGGCTTCAGGTGGACAAATTTATAGAACACTACTCGTTAAATGTTTGTGAAAACTCAAAAGTGTGCTTTTGTAGGCGCTGAAAAACACAACATATAATCAATATTTTAAAACTAATAAGAAAAAATCACCCAAAGATTTAAAGGCTAAATCGTTTTAGGAGCGGGATCAGCTGCTTCCTGATGTCGCCTCTCTCCAGTGCCTCTCCTCCCATCGTGGAGTTGATCAGTTAACAAAATTCATTCTTTACCTTCTCCTAAAGTTTGTTATGACCAAAAATCTCAAGCCTCGTGCTAGCATCCGACGCCCTCTCTTGAGCACCTAAGATTCTCGAAAGCCTGCGCGATCGGTATATTCTCTTAAATTTTCATCGCACTACCAATCACTCCCAGAAGTCATTTCTGTTTTTCTATCGCATTTTGTTCATTCAAATCTCTCTAAATGAAAGTAAAATTAGTAAAAATCTTTGTCCAATCAAATCCTTAGATTTTCTGATGTTTTATTTCAGTTTGGTTTCTAGCTTTTCAGGACACATTCACCGATCACTCATATTAAACAAAACCATCCTCAAATGTTGCACTTTTTAAAGATTAATTACACATAAAATTTGTGGAAAAAAAAAAAACCTTTAGCATACATTGTTGTCCTTAAAAGTGGCATTCTGTTTTCCCAACAAATTGCAGCACCGATCTTCCCTATAGAAGTCTCCAAAACTGGAATTGTCGAACCATCTCCAAATCCCCAACTTATACGCTCGAGTGCTGTTGGCATGACTTTCCTATGCTTTACAAGATAATGACCTTGAGAATCAAAAAATAAAACCGTACAATATAAGGTGTATCCATCTCTTTCTATAACGCCCATCACTAAATAAACCTTATACTTTCCAGCCATAGCAGCCAAGCGATCTACGTCGGGCCCTGAAGAATTCCACTAGAAAAAAATAATTACAGAATGTATAATTTAGTTAAGGACGATATGAGGGGCAAGCAAAATAATATGGAAACTTTATGAAAGCGTATAACAGGAAATTCATTCGTTGCATTTTCATGCTTAAGAACTTATCCACAGTACTCGAATCAAGGGTCGAATATATTCTTACTAAAAAAATAAAATATAATGGGTAAAACAATCAAAGCACATCCCAAATGATGAAACAACCAAGGCCTGTGTTGTAGCAAATTATATTTTTACCGAGTACAGGATGACTCCCGACCTCGGGTCGATCTCTCGAGGAAGGCGGTTCGGGATTTAGCTTTGGTGTCGATTACACACGAAAAAAAAGTAAATCCTAAACACTCTAATCAGATAGCAGTTTGGATGAATTATTAACTAAGAAATAAAATAAAACAATAATCTACCTAATAATATAAACGAAACAAAGATGAAGAAGCTAGGGAGTCGGGGATAATTAATTCAAGTTCTAGCAAAGCCGGGCAGTCAATTGTTCGGTTCGAGATTGACACTCTCGCTTAAACATCTAGCGGTTCGCTCCCAATAACTTTTCGTAATAAGGGATTGAACATAGACGAACAAGCTCGAGCATACAACACAGGCCAATTATCCCAATCCCAATAACTTTTCGTAACAAGGGACGGGTCATCGACAAGCACGTAATTCAATCTCAACCCATAGATTATTCAGCTACGAAATCATCTATCTCATGCGAGCCTAGGTCTACGACTTCTCCCCTTTCGGTTCGAAAAGTCGCTAATTCAATTAGAAGGTGTTTAATCAACTAATCATATGGAATCGACAAATCCTAACTCGACAAATCAATATTCAATCGTTACCAATTGCAAGATCGAAGTGTCACCCTTCGATTATATCAAACTATCAAGCACAAATTCATCAATTCCTAATCAATTCAACTCACATAAGCATGAACAATCTTGAGCCCGACAAATGCACGTTAAACAAGAATAATCATCCCATATCCCTAGCAATCAGACTTAGCTACGAATATCAAATTCAATAATCATAATCATTCCTTTCAGATAACCATTATTCATGAATCAAATAAGAGAAGTGAGTACTTACAATCAATCCAAGTTCCAAAGTTAATTTTGAAATACAAGCTTAATCCTTAGATGTAGAGAAGAAGAAGAAAAATGGAAAATAAAGGTGTAAAGAAAAGGAAAAACGAAGAAGAAGAAGCAGAGAAAGGAGTTCTGTCGTGGAGTTATCGGGCTTAGGGTTTTTACTCCCAGGAGAGGAGATTAATCCGTTAATCGACGTCCCGTACACATATTTATAGGTGGCACAAGGTCAGGGCTTGAGATGGTGTGGCGCGGAGTGGAGGTCACGAGTGTCACGGCGTAGAGAGGCAGCACGGCGCGGAGGAAGCAGTTGCCGCGGCGTGGAGGGGTCTCGCGGCGTGGCAGGGAGCAGGTGCTTAAGTCTCTGTACGCCCGTGGAGGGCTTCAAGCCGTGGAGGAAGGCCATGTCGCGCCACGGAGGAGTTGCCGCGCCGCGGAGGAGTGTTGTGCCGCGGCGCTGCGCGCGGGGCTGTTTGTACTATTTTGCTTCTGGGGCTCGTCCGAACTCGGAATTGGGTTCCGTTTTTTCTTACGCGTAGCTAACGAACCCCTCTATCTAAATATGGAATCCCAGCACATATTTTCCTGAAAACCTGTCCTCCCAAATCTTTTGACTTGAAGGTAACAGCTTTCGTGCACGACTTCACATATCGGGCCCGTCCGGACTCGTCCGAACTCGAAATCGAATTCCGCTTTTTCCTAATTGTAGCCAACGGACCCATCTATTTAATGATGTTCACCCGGTGCACTTATCATGAAAAATAAATTCTCTCGAAGCTTTCGACTTGCACACCATAAACGAAGAAAAACCGGAAAAGCATACGGAAAACACAAGAAAAACCAAGATAGAGGAAAACACGCAATAAACTACAAAACGAAATAAAAACTAACTAAAAGACCTAATATGGGGGAAAAAGAAAGGAAAAATAACAAGAAAAAATGGAACAAAAATGGGACAAACAGCCTGTCCAAAAAACGACGCAGAAAATGAGAACACATATTCCTTCTTTACTTTCTTATTTTTATTTATTTATCTGGATTGTCCAACTTAAAATACAAATGAGAACACATGTGCCTTCTTTTCTTTCTTATTTTTATTTACTTATTCGGATTGTCGAACTTAAAATACAGATAACATTTTGGCATGCAAAATCTGGGATGGATGATTCAGAAAACAATCTGGCATGGATAATTCAGCAGAGCACAAATGATATTTTTCAAACAAACATTTCAAGAAGAAAAAATCTGGACAGTCAAAACAAATAAGACTACTCAAGTCACTCCAATGTAACCGTGAAACATATACGACACAAATAATACAATAAATATCCGAACAATCTTTCTTTACTGACTGGACATGATAAAGAGCTCTTACCAAGAACATCAATGGCAGAAGCATGATATTTATGGAACTCCTCTTTACCCTTAGCTATTCGGTTTCCAATAGAAACACCAAATGTGGAGCCACATGGATAGCCACCAATAAAAGATTCAGGGAAAACAACCAACTGAGAACCAAAAGATGTGGCTTCAGCTAGTAGCCTTTCGGCTTTATCTGAAATAATAATAGATAAACAGAAGTTTTACGATTAGCTCAAGTATAGTTAAGGCTGAAATCTAGTATATGTGAAAGAAAAGAAGGAATCATGACTCAAGCAAATCAAATGGCATATAAAAAATCAATAAAGCATCAACTACAGATTGGTCGAATTTGAAACCGTTTTGTAAGAAATTTTAATAACTTCTGCTAGTAATTACAAATGGATACTACACATTGAGCATCCTTAAGAAAATCATATGGCATATAAAAATGAAGAAAGCGTTAACTACAGATTGGTTAAATTGAAACCGTTTTGTCAGAAATTATAGTAACTTCTGCTAGTAATTACAAATGAATTCTTAATTATTTTAACTCAAGAATTTTAACTCAAAATTTTCTCCATAGCTAGACATAAGATTGTGAAAGAGTGTAAACCTAAAAATCCACCTTCCCTTTCTCACAATTCATTCCAATCAGAAAGTCACATAAGGCTGCTTTCTTTCTTTTTTTTTTCCCCTTCATTTTTCCTAATTTGAGTTAAACCCACGCGACAAAAATCAAACTTGAAAACGAAAACAAAAAAACCTTCAAATTGCAATACGGGAACTATCAGCTAAACTCGAGCAAAATTCAGAAATTTCACCAGAGCATAGGAAGAATCGAAATGGGAAAAATAAAAATATACCAAGAATTGAAATGGGAAAAATATACCTAAAGGTTTTACATATGTCAAAATCTTAGAGATGAAATAATATGTAAAGAGGGATGGTTTGACTCCATCCTCAACTCATCAATGTTGCTTAATCAAGCTAAGCACAGCACTAAATGCAAACAAATATAGGCACCCACATGAGAAGATCAACAAATTTTATTAAATGAAGGACAACCAAAGATATCAATGCCAGAACACAGCTAATCCTTTATTAATCTCCACAAATAGAAAAAAATATCAGCTTTTAAGAAACATAAATTGCAACACTAACAACCTGGGAAGATCACATCCATCAGGCTTCTATCTCCATTTCAGATACTCAGAATCAGGCCTCCCATTGTTCGTACATTCAAAACCATCATCGATGTACGGGCAAGAACACGCTTGGTAAAGCGGATAGCCCTCGTCTCTCACCCATGACTCTTGGTAAAAATCACAATTTTGCCTCTTTTCAGCCATTACATTATCAAAAAACCTTCGGATTTCTCAGTATCCGACAAAGCTGCCTCGTAACTTGTTTTCCGCCATTTGTACCATCAAGATCGGATTTTGATGAAATGGGGACATTATTTTTTTCATCTGAAGACAAGGGCTCATCTGTGGCTTCACCTGAATTTTCCTCACATTCATGGTTTGACGACAAAACAACCGGCGCCGTGGGTTTTTCAGCATTTTCATCAGATTCGGATGAAGTGTCGACTGTTGCTCCTTCATTATTACTTTCTTCTTGAAACTGAGACGATGTGCTGTTATCTCCGTCAACATCATCGACGGGACCACGGTGGCGCGGATGGTCGGAGTAGAGGCGTCGGTGCCCATGTCAACGCTGAAACCCGCCTGAGTCTCCATCTTCTTCTAAAGCCGGAAAGGGGAGGCACCAACCTAAAATCGCGGAGGAGACCACGCAGCCCGAAGCCGACCACCGTCAGAAGACCCAACGCCGGCTGGGGAAGGCCCGACAAGCGAGAATTAGAGAAGCAGAGGCGAAAAGATGACACAAATAGGTATTTCTATTGTTAAACCAAAAGGGGATCTGGACTTTTTGGTTTAGGGAAGCAGGCGAGAAATCAAATTGCTACGGATCTTATCAAATTGATTTAGATATCTTCCAAATCAAATTGATTTAGAGAGAGAGAGATTATTTCCTTTTTTTTTCTCGTTCGTCTTCTGTTGCGGATCTTTTTCTTCAAATTTTGAATTAAAAAAATTAAATTGTAGATATAGATAAGTCCAAATAAGCTAAATTTTCGAATTGTATACATAAGATAGATTATGTCATTTTGTATATGTAAGAGAAAATTTATGTTCACACTTAAAGAGTTGGTTTTGTTATTCAAGCAGGACGAGGTTGTTTATATACTGCGAGTGTTCACACTAGGGGCGGTACCGTAATTAACCAACTCTTTAAGTGTGAACGCAACAAACCAAGTAATTACGGTACGAGGTTGTTTATATACTGCGAGTGTTCACACTGGGGGCGGTACCGTAATAAACCAACTCTTCAAGTGTGAACGCAACAAACCAAGTAATTACGGTACCGCCCCTAGTGTGAACACTCGCAGTATATAAACAATTCAAGCAGGTAACAAATTTATGGTAATGAAAGAGAGATTTATATATAGGATGTTGATTAATAACAAATTTATCGGAGACAATAAATTTATGGTAATGAAAGATACATACATATATATATATAGGGATTGGTTCCAATGCATCCACTTATTTAAAGTGAGGACGTGAGACTCATTTTTAGCCATAAGATTTGGTACATCATGTGTGACCAAGATTTTTTTTTTTATTATTTTAATTATTTAAATATTATTTTGACCCATTGACTCCGGCGTTGACCGTTGACTTCCGGCAAAATCCGTTGACTTCCGGCTTTGACCGTTGACAACTAACCTTCCAACTAGGTTAGTTCTCTGTAGTTGCTAGGTTAGTTCTGTGTAGTTGCTAGGTTAGTTGTCTGTAGTTGCTAGGTTGGTTGTCTATAGTTGCTAGGTTAGTTCTCTGTAGTTGTTAGGTTAGTAGTTGCTAGTTTTACAGTCTACAGAGTCTCACAAGTAAAACAAAAAAAAACAAAAAAGAAAATACAATACAAAGTCTGACTTCGGGCTAACATGTGCCCGGAATAAAAAGTCTAATCTAATGAAAGCAATAACCTAATCTACTGAAAGCGGAACGATGGATATCCAAGCTGGTCCATCCGTACAAGTGTGCGAAGGCGGAGTGGAGCAGTGTCGGTCTGATACGTATGTGGGTCTGGTATGGTGGAGCCAAGACTGGCAAGGTAGTCAGCAGGTCTATTTCCCTTACGGAAAATGTGCGTGATCCTGTGATGGACAGACCGAAGTAGAGCTCTAATGCACATAAGCGGGTGCTGAATCTGCCACGAGCCCTGGTGGCCCGAAGTCAGGAGGGTGGCGACAGCCGCAACGTCCAGCTCGATCCAAATATGACTAGAGAGGTGGACAGCAATCTGAAGGCCAACCTGTAATGCCTGAATCTCTGCGTCGTAGCTCGAGGAGGCCTGAAGTGGCGCGTGGAAGGCGGTGATGAGGGCGCCGGTGTGGTCCCGGATCAAGCCTCCTCCTCCGGCAGCTCTGGTATGGTGATCAAAAGATCCATCAGTATTCAGCTTGACCCACGGAGAGTCGGGTCGAAGCCAAACAACAGCTCTGGGCCGAGGGGGCGGAAACAGGCGGTGGGGGAGCCACCATGTAGCCGTGTGGTGGTGTGCAACCTGTCCAGTCTCGGGCCGTGAGCCTGCCCAATGCTATGAGGAGTGAAATGTGTCTCTCTACCTGCAAAGCAATGTGAGAAAACAAAAAAGTAATATCTCTATGCTTCGCACTATTCCTCTCCGTCCAGGTGAACCAAAGGATCAGACAAGGAATGAGGAAGCCAGTTGTCTAAGGTGTGTGCTCTGTGAGAAAACACTCAGGAGCTCAAATAAACTGCCTGTGGTGGATAGGGATATATGGGTCCAAGTGGCAAAATGCTCCCACACTCTCCTCACAATCTCACACTCTAGAAAAAGATGAGTAAAGGTCTCGGTCTCATGGCATCCAGTCTCAGAACAACACACACACCGAGAGGGGAAGGAGATCCCCCTCGCGTGTAACACAATATCCACGGGTATCTGGCGCAAGAGGAGGCGCCAAAGGAACATCGAAATGGTAAGGGTGAAAAGGTCGCTCCAGATGGCCGATCTCTCTGCCTGATCTGCTCCCAAGCCGAAATAGTAGAAAACACACCCGATGATGTAAGTCTCCACCTCATGCCATCCGAACCGTCCCCCGAGATGGGGATCTGCTGGATCTGATCAAATAAATGCTCGCTAAAACCCGCACCAGAGCCCAACTCCCTATCAAGTTTCCCCCTATCCCACGACCCATCCGTCCAAAGGTCACTCACAAGCAGGTAGGGAGAATGCGTCACCTGCCTATCCCTAGACAACGGCCTATCACCTAACCACCACTCATCCCAGAAACTAACCTCGCCCTCGCCCAACACCCAGAAGATGTGATCTTGGGCGCGCCTACCGACCCTAGTGAGGCGCCGCCACTGTCTGCTATTATGATCAACAGCCGTCACCCAACAAGGGTGGTTGGAGAAAGCTGTAACAATATCTCTGAGGCGGCGGATGCCAAGGCCACCCTCGGAGAAGGGGCGGCAGATAGAGTCCCAACTCACCCAGTGGGTACGTCTCCCCCTCCCGGAACCGTCCTCGTAACACCAGAAATAACGAGTCATAATCTGGTCAATCTCGTCAAGAGTAGACCTAGGGGGGTTGAGAACTATAAGCAAATGAATTGGAAGGGAGCTAAGAGTGCTTTTGATCAGCGCAAGCCGACCACCGAAAGAAAGATGTCTATGCGGCCAACCAGAGATCCTGTCGATCATCCTCTTCCTGACGCCCGCAAATAGCGCTCTTATATAAAGGGACACCAAGGTAGGTAATGGGAAGGTCGCCGCACGCAAAGCCAGTAATCTCGTGGACCTGCTGAACCCACCTGTCCGCGCTGGAAGAGGAGAGGGTGAAGATGCTCTTCTGCACACTGACCAGCTAGTCGGTGACCAAGCCATAGTGCTCTAGAAGGCGCATAAGCTCAACCAGTCCATCATCATCCGCCCGGGTGAAGATGATGATGTCATCCACATAAGAGAGGTGAGAGATGGGAGGACCATAGCCACGGGTGCTGTAAGTCATCTGAGGAGAGTTGGGGATGAAGCCGTCAAGGCAGCAAGAGAGGTAGTCCGCCGCAAGAACGAAAAGGGAAGGGGAAAGGGGGTCGTCCTATCTAAGGTCTCTAGAAGAGGGAAAGAAGTCGGTGGGGCTGCCATTAACCAGGACCGAGAACGTGCAGTTCTCCACACATGCCTCCACAAAACTTGCAACGCTCAGAAAATCCCATCCTAGCCAGAGCCTCCCTAAGAAACGGCCACTCCACCCTATTATACGCCTTAGCCATGTCTAGCTTCAGCACAATATTCGGTGCTCGCTTCCAATCCGCATGGGAGATGTCGTGGATCATCTCCTGGGCCAAAAGGATATTATCACTAATGACCCGATCCTTGACGAAGCCACTCTGGTTCGGAGAGATGAGGGAGGGGAGAAGAGGGTTAAGAATCTTCAAAATGAGCTTGTTGGTCACGTTACACAGGCTGATGGGCCTGTAGTCGGACCAAGAGCTCGGATTGGGTCTTTTAGGGATCAAGACGATGGAGGTAGACGTGAAGGAATCCGAAATCCGGTGACCGGAGAAAAAATCCTAGCAGACCTAGTAGATAAGAGAAGAGAAACCATCCGGGCCAGAAGCGCTGTTGGGATCAATCCCGAAAACAGCATCCCTAACCTCCTCCCTACTCGGGCGCTCACAAAGGCGAATAAGATCGACCGAAGGGGAGTTGGTGGGGAAGAAAGAAGAAGTCGGGGCAACGAAAGACCCTCTGTCAGAGGTGAAGAGGGTCTGGAAATGAGCAACAATCGACTCCCGAATCTGAGACTCTTGGGTCAGGGATGACCCATCATCCTCGATACTATGGATATACGACTTAGCATGCTTCTGCCTAACGTAGCCCTGGAAGAACCTAGTATTCCACTCGCCCTCGGCCACTCATCAAACGCCCGCCTTCTGCTTTCAGAAGTCCTCCTCCATAAGGAGTCGGAGCTGGTACTCGGCGTGGCAGCGGTGCATCGCAGTCCTATTCTCCAGAGTGGGGTCCAGGTCATAGACCCGCTCAGCTGCCGCGTGCGCACTCTGAGCCGCAGAAAGGCGCTGATGAAGGTTTCCAAAAACATCCCAGGTCCACTGTCTCAACCGACACCGCAGTCTGCCGAGCTTCGCCTCGAGATTGCGCATCCCGAAAAGCCCAGTCGGCTGAAGCCAGGAATCCCTGACGGTGTCGTGGAAGGAGTGGTGGCGAACCCACATGTTCTGGAACCTAAAGGAAGAGCGGGGGGTGTTCGAAAATCGGCACCGGATGAGAAGAGGTGAATGGTCAAATCCAAATCGAGTAAGGTGTATGACAGTCATAACCGTAAACACCTTTGCCCACGCCCCAGAAACCAAGGCACGGTCGAGCCTCTATTTGAGTCCGTCCCTCACCCACGTGAAAGGCTGACCATCACATCCAGCGTCAATTAACTCGCAGTCCGCCACCGCCTGAGCAAAATCCCACATCTCCCGTGACTGGTCCGATCGGCCACTCACACGCTCATCGGGGTACAGAAAGGTGTTGAAATCGCTACTAACCATCCATGGCAATCTCTCCATACTCCCAGCAATCTCACGCAGGGTGTCCCAGAGATCATATCGCCCGACCCTTGTACACTTGGCATAAAC